TGTTTATAAATTAAAAGCAATAAATATGTCGACCATGACTCTTTTTATGATCTTCTTTAAAAAAGACATGATCGACATATTTATCGTTTTTAAATTATAAATAAATTGTATGTCGCAACTTTTCTCTCTCAAAATCTTTTATTTTCTTGTTTCTGCATGATTTTCTTCTAGTACAATTTATTTTATGCAACATTATCTTCATCATGCTTTTTTACAATATTTGTTGTATGGTCATTTAATGAGAAAAACAAGAAATCTTTTATTTGCACTACTTTTTGAATCAGAAACTTGAACATTTCGAGTGTAAAGTTACATGACATCATCTCTTAATTATAGATTTATTTTGTATTGCATTGCACGCTAAATCCCGGTCTACAATTTTTTTATAATGTTCTTAATGCTTATCCCAATGATAAATGATATCAATTATGAAATATAATTTATATTGTTGAGCAAGATATCTGCATTAGAAAAAACTATAGATATAATTTCTTTTTCAAATACTTCACATATTCTGAAAGTTTATTATTAAATTTTTTCATAATAATTTTTTGCAAATGAAATAGTATCTTATAATTAATAAATATTTTCTATGCATGAGTCTTAATTTTTCAATTTGGTATTTGATCGTGAATTAATTTCATGTAAACTGATTTTTATTCAAGTAAAATATTTGGTAATTATTTAGAAAGCAGACGGCATCTCCGATTTCGATGATCTTTAAATATGTTATTAAGTTCGAAATTTTGAACAACTTTTTCCTATAAAAGTTGGCTGAAGAATCAAATTTAACTAATTTGAATGATTTTGAATCTCAGCTTGTATGGCTGGTCGCCCCACGGCGACCAGGATATTAGTTTAGCCTAACCTAACCTAATTCACTGGTTAGGTAGATTAGGTTAGGTTATATTGAACAGCCGGCACACAAGTTCAAATTTAAGTCGAAAATCAAATCATTTTTAAAATGTCCACACTAAATGAAATTAGTTAAATTTGATTTTTCAGCCCACCCCTTATATAGGTATGTCGAATGTCGGTTGCCTGCAGAAACAGTTAACTGACGTGTATGTCGTCACGGACGCACACAAATAGGCAGAATTGAATGTAGTAGTTTCGATAGTTTTTCGAAAATATTTCAAAAACTAAGGCCGAGCGATGATTATATGTGTACGAAAAAGTTGTTCAAAATTTCGAACTTTATAACATATTGTTGCGACGGTGAGAAGTTTCCGCTCTTTCGATGCATCGACTGTTTCTTGATGTATCGAAAGAGCCATCGACTGCCCCGTCCGAAGCTGTCAACGAATCATGATGTGAAGCTATTCCATGTTTCGAGCGGAAACACGTCATCGGATGCTTGAGGTCTCTTAGACAACCGCGCGGCTTTTGAAAGTCACAATGTATCGGGAACCCGACCTGTACGGATCTATTGCTTAAGAACTCCTTTGTAATCGAAATATAGACAGTCTAGTTTGCTTCGTCTCTATTTATTTGACGATGGAAAGTGCGAGCTCCACTCCCCGGCGCAACAATATTTAAAAAACATCGGAATCAGCGGTGCCGTCCGCTTGCTAAATAATTACCAATTGTAACTATTATGCGTGCAATATGCTTATATATAATTACCTTAATTTATAATTTATAACAAGTTCATAATAACATGCAACATAACGAAAAAAATTATTCGTGTTTAATTAATTACAACACTAAAAGACATCATAAAAATATTTACATTAAAAGGCATTAAAAAATTATATAGGTTCACTATAATTGTGAAGAAAAAAATTTTAAATTCTTTATATATAAATAAAATACTATTTAAGAAATATAGATTACATTTTTTCTGAAATTTTCTATTGGCGTCCTTAAAATATTACATAAATTATACTTTAATTATTGAATTAGTTTGTTTAAAAAAAAAACTGCAACTGTCAAAACATTTTTCATTTATCAAAATATTTTTAATTCTCCATATAAGCTTTCTACATATTGTTTCAGTGATAAAGGAGAATATAACATAAAGAAAATAATATCAGGCAAACCCAAACCTATATTCGTATACATAATCGCAGTTCATCTACTTTCTATTGCTTTATAAAATTATATATTATGTCCAAATCAAAATTAAGACTAGACGTTATTTCTTTAACGCCACGGCAGCGGCGACGTATTTTCTTAAAAAGATTTCGTAATATTTGCCAAATGACTATTAATTCAAATTTAGAAATTCAAGATAATATCGTAAATTTATCAAATGTGCCAGCTAACATCGAACAATTACCTCAGCAGCAAAATGTACTAAAAGAAATTGATTTCGATTATTCCAATGTAATGAACACACATAAGTGTACAGAAAATAATCATGATTTAATTTCTGAACATTCGGAAATTAGTATTGATAAAAATAGTCCTCAGTCAAGTATTTCAAGTGATAAATTTTCTAAAACTGAATGTTGTAAAACAGAACTTATTAACGACATCCGATTATGGGCTATTGAAAATCGTGTTAGTCATTCTGCTATTAGTAGTTTACTAAAAATTCTAGTAAAATACGGCCATAATCTTCCTATTGATGCTCGAACTCTGTTTCAAATTCCCAAACAAGTGGCCATTATTGAAATGTTACCAGGAAAATATTATCATGCAGGTTTAGGTGATAGTTTAAAAAAATCTATTCGTAAACATTATTGTCGAAGTAATTTACCATCTCAGATAAATATTAATGTAAATATAGATGGTCTTCCTTTAACAAAACCATCTGGGAGTCAATTTTGGCCTATTTTAGGTAGTATAGTTGCAGATTTTTACACCGAACCGTTTATAATTGGTGTTTATCATGGTTTTGAAAAGCCAAAATGTAGCAATACTTTTTTAAAATATTTCAAGGATGATTGTTTTAAAATTTTCCGAACTGGCATTATAGAATACGGCAAAAAAATAACTGTGAAATTGAACGTATTTATCTGCGATGCTCCTGCAAAATCGTTTATCAAGGGAATTAAAGGACATAATGCGTATTTTGGATGCGGAAATTGTATTCAAGAGGGAGATTACATAGAAAATCGAGTAACGTACCCAGAAATTAATGCAATGTTAAGATCAGATGAATCTTTTAAATTAAGGAAACAAGAAGAACACCATAAAATCACGTCAAATCTTGAAGATTTAAACATTGGAATGGTTACTCAATTTCCTTTAGACTACATGCATCTCGTACTATTAGGAGTAATGAAAAAATTGTTGCAGTTTTGGATTAAAGGTAAACATAATGTTCGTATGGTTGCAGCTCAGATGACTCTTGCTTCAACGTCTTTATTATCTATGTCATCATTCTTACCTAAGGAATTTGCTAGAAAGCCAAGGAAATTAGATGAAGTTGATCGCTTTAAAGCCACCGAATTAAGACAATTATTATTATATACTGGGCCAATAATCTTTTTTAAAAAATTATCACCTGATAAATATCTTCATTTTTTGAGTTTGAGCGTAGCAATTCAACTTTTATGTAACAAAGAATATTGCGTACAACTGCTTGATTATGCACACAGTTTATTATTGTATTTTGTTGAAAATTACGGCACATTATATGGTCGTCAACATATATTATATGTAAAGTCGCGGAGTTCTCTCTCTCACTGAGTCCTCGGCGTACTTTATGTAAATTGATCTACGTTGTCAGGTAGATAGAGGTTCTCACTTACCTTTCGCTGGACGAGTAGAACCTATGTATGGACGGAACCTGTGGTGGTGTGTCGTCCAGGTGTTGGAGCGGTAGGGTAGACGTTCGAGTGAAGATCACGCACTTTCGATCACAACGAATGTTTATTCGTTACTGGTACAGTTCTTGATTCGCGCACGTTTACAATCGAGTCTTACAGAATCTTGCTCTGTCGAAGCCCTGAGCTTCGTAGCAGAGTCATAAACGCTAGACTTAGTTAATTTATTGATATTACCGGAATCTTGCTCTGTCGAAGTACTGAGCTTCGTAGCAGAGTCGTGTAGATTCTAGAGTATCGAACTCTGAGCGGTACTTCGCGGATTATCTTCGCGGATTTAATGATTTACAGATGGTCTGAGTGATTTAGTCTGATCGCGATACTTTCGGTTTCGTACTATGTTGATAAGTCGATGAACCGTTTAGATGTACTGATAAGAACTGCGCCTATGAGAACTTCTTACGAGAACTATTGGTAAAATTTGACTGCGTGCAGGCGGGCCCGGTCGCGTTATTTTATATTGATAAATGAGGTCGACATTTGATTTGGCAATTCGGGTGAACCACCTCGTTCGGATCGTCAGCGTTCTCGCCGTACGACGACCCGGCTGAGTTGCTCACTCAGAATTTGCGGAACGATGAATTTGGATGGTGCAATAGAAGTTTAAAGAATTTGGGTGATGAAATAGAAGTTTCAAGAATGCGTCGCAGGACGTGACAATACATATATTGTACTGATTTTAATTGTGAAATCAATCACAAAATTAAGGAAACTTATGTTTATTTACGTGCATATAGAATGCGTCACAGGACGTGACACATATAACGTTCATAATTTAATTCATTTGTGTTCTTATGTAAAATTATGGGGAGAGTTAGATAAATTTAGCGCGTTTAAGTTCGAAAATTACATGCAAAAAATTAAATCAAGAATTAGATCTTCGAGTCGACTATTAGAACAATTAGTCAATCGTTGTAAAGAAGGAGATAATTGTAATATAACAAATATAGAAAGGAATTATCCAATACTAAAAGAACTTATTATAAATGGTAAAAAGATAATAAAATCAGTTCAATGTAAAGGTTTCTATCTAAGTTCAAGAACTGCTGATAATTGTTGTCTTTTGTTAGATGGTACAACAATTTCAATTATGAAAATTTATTTTAAAAATAAAGAGATTTACATTATTGGCAAAAAATATTTAAATATTAAATCATTTTTTCACATTCCATGCAACTCTTTCAATATCGGCATTAAAAAAATTAACGAGTCACAGTATGAGTTAATTACTGTTCCATTGTCTGATATTAAATTAAAATGTGTAAAACTGCCTTTATGTGACAAAGAACATGTGGTATTGCCTTTACTGCACCAACAAGAAATATGTTTATGGCGAGTACTTATTTTGATAGAATATATAATTGAAAACAATATTGAACTATTTAACAAGTTTTCCTTTTTTACAGATTATTAATAATGGTAAAAAATTTCGCTGTCGTCACTTTTCCAAGCGATGGGAATAATGAAGAAGAGATCGTATCAGAAGTTCCATCTTTATGGCTTTCTTCCAATTTAACAGAATGCTGGTGGCCATCAGTAAAAAATATCAATACCTTTATTGTGAAACAAACACCACCTGTTAATAATGATCCTAAATGGACACTTCATCCTATCAAATTTCATGGACATTATGGTAATTTATATTTTACTTCAGAACTTATGTAATTATTTTTTTAATAATTAAAAAAAAATGTTTATTAATTAATATTTTAATATTTAAAAAAAAATAATGTAACTTGTAAATTACGGTTTTGCCCTAATCAAGATTCATTAGATGAGGCTAGACAGAGAGCAACGAATTATTCTTCAAGTGATGAAAGTAATACAAATCAAATAAAGAAGTCATGCATAAAACGGTCACTAAATACTGTTTATAACAATGAATCTGAATCTGATTCTGATGACCCACGTTCAATTATACCAAATCCACCAAATCTTAAAGATACAAATGTTTCACAATCAGAAAAAAATATTCAATCAATCTCAAATATTTTGAATTCAACAATTATTAATAATATTGATATGGAAATTCTTGATGGAACTATAGTACCTCACAAAAGTAATTTTTATTTTAATTCTTTTATTCCATTTTTATTATCTCTATAATAAAACGGTGTTTATTTAAATTATAGTTATTACTGTTTATTATGTGAGTAATCTAATACTTTTTTAATATTTAGGCATACAGGATGTATATACGTTAGTGTCAGGAATGTCAGATAAAATGGAAGCTTTTGAATTTATTTTTTGTCTTATAATCTTATTAATATCTCTTCATGGCATTGTTTATTCAATATTATTAATTTTTTAGATAATTTTGAAAAAATATATACAGCTATAACTACAATTTCATTAAACATACAAGCTATTGATACTCGTTTAAAAAACATGGAAACACAACATAACCAACATAAGTCTAAAGCATCTGCCATGGATACATCAAATATACAAAAATCCTTTCCGTTTAAGAACATAAATGAAGTAATAGCTTTTGAAAACAGTTTATCAGAAAATACAGATGAGTACAACAAATTTGTAAGTTTAATTAAGTTATTTAAATGCAGATTTTATTTAAATAGAATAATATTGATATATTTTATTTTTAAAGATGTTGTATATATCTCGCATAGGCGGAGAGTCCGCAAAGGAAAATTTAATACGTATATATCGAACTTTATTTTCGAATGAAGTTGCCAAGGTTTCATCCTGGAAGGGACTACGTAATCATTTTAAAATAAGTAGTTTAAAATCTATGTTGACGGGAATACAAGGTAAAATATATATTCTTATATTTATAAAATATAAAATTTAATTTAATGTAAAATTTTTTTAATAATTCAGCAACAACTTTGGCTCAGTACCAATTCACAAACAAAGAGTTTGAAGACATCACGAAAGAATGGTTTCGCCAAGGTGGTCAGAGGCTTAGCAGACAACAAAAAGACTCCGAAGAAGTAAATCCGCAAGCTATTTAAATGTGCTATTTAAATTGTTTTCAAATTTTTCATCATTTAGCCTCCAATTCAAACGTTTACTAATTATTCCATTTCAATCATTTTTATTTGTTGTTTAGAATGCTTAGAATTTCCTTTTTTACATTATGACAGGCGACAAGAGATTAGGTTCCGTATTCATTTTAAATAACCACTAAAAATTTTCTACCAGTTCAGTTTTTTTATTGTGCTATGCCAATGGGATGCCGAGCCGTTCGTTCGCGACCTACGTCGGACCCGGTTTTCGTAGCCGGCATTGCAGTCCCTGAGCCCGCGCGCCGTACGCGCTCGGATTGGTCGGTGTTTTTTGTTAATAACTCGAAAACGAACCAACATTTTGGCAAAGAAAAAAGTTGTTTAGAATCACCTTACCAATCATCCCTCTTCAGCTGTCGAGGTAGTCGCGTGACACCCTCTATATCCGCGATGATCCCACTTGCAAAAATTTATGAAATTTGTTGTTTATTAACCATTTAAGTTCGGTCAATTTTTTTTCGGTTTAGGGTTATTAGCTAAGCAACAAAAACCCAAAATCACCTTACACTATCCTACAAATACTACAGGTCCCACTAATAAGTGTGAAATAAAATAATTTTTAACAAAAAACAAATCCGACTTTGAAATGCACTAAAAAGTGTCAAATAATTTCTATTTCATTTATACCAATATTCCATAGCTACTAATAATATCTACTTAATCGTTAAATAGGATACCAAATACATTTCAAAGTTTTCGGAGGCGGCGCAAAATTGAAAACTTTTCTTCTACTAGGAAGATCCTAGTTCAGGCGTCGGCAACCTATGACAAATGACACATTTGATAATTTCAAGTAAACAATATTCAACGGGAATCAACATAGCCATTGCGGATTAACTATACTGCAGTTCACGAGAGACCATACTTAAGGGGGTAGACACGAGTAATGCAGCGAGGTGACATTACCGGCAAAAATGGTCCTATTAATGGGTTTACGGGAATCAGTTATTTGTCCTTATATGAGAACACTTAGGGCTGGGTGAGGGCTCATTCGAAAGAGGAACGTCCAATGCAGAGGGCTCAACCGATCGTTTAACGAGATTGTGTTAATATCTAATAATATAAGTGTCCAACGTAGAGGAAAAATCGAGAAAATACGCCCGCAGAATCCAAGTACATTTTAGGTAACTATAAGAGTTTTGTGACTAAAACGATTTGTTGAGCCCCCTTCATTGAACCTTCCTCTTTCGAATGAGCCCTTATTCAGCTCAAGATCTTCTCATATAAGGACGAATAACCGATTCCCGTAAAAGGATTACCAAAGACGAGTTCCGTCATTATCTGGATACTACAGAGCAAGTCACGGGACAAATTTAGTTCAGCTAGTAGTTATAAGGTGGCGTCTAAGTAGAAAGGCTGCCGATTTGGATACGTAGTCAGAATCAAGCGTTAGCTTGATTACGTCACTCGAACTGTGCTGCGAAGGCAAGCGAAAAAGGCAACATCGCCCGAACGCTGAGTGAGACGCACTACAGTCATGCTGTCCTTCTCTCATTCTGAATAAGTTAAAAAATTTATCTGATACGGTCATTTTTCGCGGAGTTATGATCATTTAAAGTTGAGTGAAATTTTGATAAAAATTTATGTTGCGCTAATTTTGTTAATCAGTGTATATGTATTGTCACGTCCTGCGACGCATTCTTGAAACTTCTATTTCATCACCCAAATTCTTTAAACTTCTATTGCACCATCCAAATTCATCGTTCCGCAAATTCTGAGTGAGCAACTCAGCCGGGTCGTCGTACGGCGAGAACGCTGACGATCCGAACGAAGTGGTTCACCCGAATTGCCAAATCAAATGTCGACCTCATTTATCAATATAAAATAACGCGACCGGGCCCGCCCGCACGCAGTCAGTTTTTACCAATAGTTCTCGTAAGAAGTTCTCATAGGCGCAGTTCTTATCAGTACATCTAAACGGTTCATCGACTTATCAATATAGTACGAAACCGAAAGTATCGCGATCAGACTAGATCATTCGACCATCTGTAAATCATTAAATCCGTGAAGATAATCCGCGAAGTACCGCTCAGAGTTCGATACTCTAGAATCTACACGACTCTGCTACGAAGCTCAGTACTTCGACAGAGCAAGATTCCGGTAATATCAATAAATTAACCAAGTCTAGCGTTTATGACTCTGCTACGAAGCTCAGGGCTCCGACAGAGCAAGATTCTGTAAGACTCGATTGTAAACGTGCGCGAATCAAGAACTGTACCAGTAACGAATAAACATACATTGTGATCGGAAGTGCGTGATCTTCACTCGAAACATCTACCCTACCGTTCCAACACCTGGACGACACACCACCACAGGTTCCGTCCATAGATAGGTTCTTCTCATCCAGCGAAAGGTAAGTGAGAACCTCTATCTACCTGACAACGCAGATCAAATTACATAAAGTACGCCGAGGACTCACAATCAGTGAGAGAGAGAACTCCGCGACTTTACACCCGTCATAGACGGTTCTCTTCACTCTCCAAATACTTTCATATTTACATACAGTATAGACTCGTTATAAGCTAAAAAGTTCTGTACGATATTTGCAAAGAAACCATCCCCACCACTGGGGGGTATACCCCTCGAGACGTCGCGAAGCTCGCTCGCCGAGTAGCGTACCATGATCTTGGATCAGATATCGGTGAGGCAACACTAATGCAACAACCTAACTTTGCTATTTTTCAGTTTTTTTTTTCATGATATTTCTAACATTTTTCTAATTAAAATGATACCAAACACGATATAATTCGGACCATATTTACCATGTAAACTAGTTACAACCAAACGCACGGGACCGGACTTTTGCCTATAACGTGTAGTTCCACTATTGTTTGATGTTAGCCGACTGCTTCGAACGTAGAAAAGGACCTTGAGTGCAAAAGAGGACGGAGCGAAAACAAACCGTTCTATGTCGAAGCAGTCGGCAAATATCAAACAATGGTGGAACTACACGTTATAAGCAAAAGTCCGGTCCCGAGCGTTTTGCTTATAACGAGTCTATACTGTACTTCTACGTACTTACATTATTTCGTACTTCTATTATTCGACAGCTCTCCATATGAGCTGAATGCACTCGTCAGTGCATTAGTTACTTGCGACGACAGCCGCGGATCGGCGCACAGTGGGCCAGAAACCGATCTTTTTGGACAAAAATCTGCCGACAACTCAGTTTTTCATCGATTCAATTGGAATTTTTTTTTAAATGTTCGTGGAGGACTATATTTTGATGACGTGCTGCGCAAAAATCGGTATCTGTCACAACAAGGAATCCTTATCTACAAAGTCCTATAACTCCGATACTTCATCCGCCCATACTATAAATTTGCATGTCCCAGCTGAGTTATCGACTCTTCTAACCCTAAACCTTAAACCCCAAAACCTTAATGTGTAAATCTGGCCCTGAGAATGACTAATTGAATGGAATTACATTCGGCACTTATCAAACTTACCATTAATTTATTGATCCAACAGCAGCATTTTGGCTTCTTGAGAAAGAACTTCCTTGTGCTTGCCATCCTTTATTCTTGGAGCTTATAAGTGGATCAGATAATAATAACATAATATGACGCATAATATCTGTATTTGTCTTTTTGCGGCAACATATTCGGGAGTTTTCAGCTCGTGATTTCCTGAAGACTTTATTATTTGCCTCTTGTGGCTCTTTTAAATACAAATCAATTGGCAGTTTAAATGTAGCATATACTTCGCTTCCATGTTGCGGTACCTTATGAACTGATGGAGATAGTTAATACCATGGATAAATTTCGATACACAGTTTAGCCGTCTCCTAGCAACAGCGGAGAGGATACGGTCTAAAAAAAGAATAACAAATGATGGAACACGCTTCCAACAGTTTGCGTGGTACAGATTTACAGATTGGGCTGTTTTCTTGTAATTATTCAGGAGTTCAATAGCACGTTGATAGGAGTTATATATTATGATATATTCATTGGATTGCTGAGTAAAAACACCTTCCTTCACAATTTTTTGAAGGAAAACTGTGGGGGAATTCCTATTAAAATTCATAATCGGTGAATTGTAAATATATAAGCTGTAAAACAATCATCTGCCCAAATACTTTACGGCTTACGATGTATTTTAAAGTAAAGAACTTGGTCTTGTGCACATCAATATGGAGTAAGAAGCCCAATACAAATAACGATAAGATAGATGTCATAATGAATGATATAAAGGCCAGTAATGATTCCTTCTCCGAAATACAATTAGAGTCCATAAGACATCGATTGAGTAACTGCTTTCTCCCTCAGTACAATAAGTTGTGGAAAAAAATGTCTCGGCAGAAAAATCGTTTTATAAAAAACTGTGCGAACTTTTTAGAAAAAGATTTTGAAGTTGACTTCAATTCCATCTGTGAAGACTCATTCAGAGATAATCGTGAAAACCAGGGGCAAAATGGTTCTGTAAGTAAAGGTCGTCCACGACTATCATATGCTGAAGCATCGACGAAGACCAAAAGAAGACGCATAGGAGAGCTCGCTTCTAGTTGTACGCACGAAGAACTATCAAAAGCGCTGCATCTGAAAGAAAAAAACTCTTGTCGATCCTCCGAATATTTATGTGGATGATGATATCGAAAGCCATATGAATAATGTTCTGGCAATGTACGTAGACTTAAGACTAAGTAAAAGAAGATATGAGAAATTAAAAAAACATAGTGCGATCATTAGTCCGGAAAATAAATATTCTCCTTACGATGCACTCATACAAGCAAAACAAAAGTGTTACCCAGAGAATATAGACGCGTCTGATTCAGGAGCTAATGTAAACTTCATATCTCTTTTGGATCATACAACAAAGAATATACTCGCTCTATTGAATCCAGATGAACTGAAAAATTTACGTAATAAGAAGTTGCTTCTTATTGGAAAGTGGGGTATGGATGGCGCTTCCGGTCAGCAGACCACAAGACAGCGATAGACCAACAGCAATAATCATGGCAATAGAACTGAAAAAACAATTGAAATAAGTGATGCAACTGTGTTAATTGTTTCCTTCGTTCCACTATTACTTAAAGACGATGATTCGGTAATTTGGACGAATGAAAAGCCAAACTCTCCTCATTTCTGTCGTCCAATAAGATTTGAATTTATTAAAGAGAATGATTCTGTTATTCATAGCGAATACTGTGAGATTACTGTGAGGACGCTTTCTGCGTCATACGCGGTCAGAACTGGTGGCAGCGATACCTTTCACATCGCCCAAAAATAAGAAGAATCAAGTTCAATATTTTCTATCTTAACATCTTACTTACAAATATATTTTTATTCTTTCTTCTTTTACGTTGCGCGCTCGCTCTCTCTCTCGACGCGCAACGTAAAAGTAGTCCAAAAGCCATACTTACAGACCAGGGTACATGTTTCACAGTATCATTAATGAAGAAATTAGCTAAAGCCTTCCAAATCAAAACATACAGAACATCTTCATTACATCCACAATCAAATGGATCACTAGAAAGAAGCCATCATGTTTTAATTGAATATTTAAAACATTATATCTCAAAAGAAAAACATTGGGACGAATGGTTACCACAAGCGATGTTTTCCTACAACACCAGCATCCACGAAGGAACAAAATTTACACCACACGAATTAGTTTTCGGGAAGAAAGCTCGTCAACCATCAAGTATTAAACCGATTGATAATTTAAAAACATACCCCGATTATATCGAAAAACTAATTCAAACACTGCACAATTTACGAGAAATAGCAAAATCAAATTTGGAAAAAGAAAAACACAGACAAAAACACTATTACGACAGAAAAATTCGACCAATAAACTATGAAACAGGTGAAAAAGTTATGCTGTTAAACCCGCCTAGAAGAAACAAATTTGAAAAGGAATACACTGGACCATACACTATACTTCGAAACATAGAACCAAATAACATCGAATTGGCAATAGGTCCCAATAAAAAGCGAATCGTTCATAAAGATAGGCTAAAGAGGGCCTATCTACCAATCAACATCATAGATCAAACGTGAAGATCTACACAAAAATCCACTAAGTTCATGAACACGCGCATGCGTATTGACGAAAACCCAAAAAACCGTTGAAAGCAAGTGGAAACTGTTCATGAAGAACACTACAGTGCAAAAGCAATTACCATTGTGAAACTGAGCTGAGAAGTGAAACCACCCAAAAGCAAAGAAATTAAAAATCGAAATAAGGCAGAAAAAGGAAGGAAAAAGTAAGCATTAAATAACAATATACGTATATATATATATAAAAAAAAAAAAACATAAATAAAAAATATATATAAATTCTATTGACGCCAAGTGATACAATAATTTTATAGAAAATGCGACAAACAACCATTGACGTTGAAGCACTGTGTCTACTGGACTGCATTCCTGCTTTCCAGCATTTCTACAGCCCCCGATCGGGAAGAATTTGTGTTCAAAAAACTTATTGAGTTTGCGAGACCGGTTCGGTTGTAGGGATCGGCAGTGAGACGGAAATTTAGAGAATCGTACACAAGTTGATTTCACAAACACAACGTATAATTCTATGAACACTAATTATATACACTATGTACAAAATTGTATTTTACAGTAAATTGTGCGTTGCACGAAAGTATACTGATCGTTGATCAAGATGTTCGCACACGCGTCGCGGTGGATTGAGCTTGAGCTCGTGCTGTATGAAACCACGTGTTAGTGTAACACGTAGCACCACGTAATTGTATTAATTACGCGGATTTAAATAATTTGAGAACCCGCGAGTTCGCGCTAGCCATTGGCCGTTGCTGCACGGTCGCGAGAGTAGTTTTTTTGGCGAGATTGAGACAGAACGATAGAATTAGTCGAGACTGATAATACACGTGGTATCGCTGTGTTAACCAGAACGATAATGGCCGATCAACCGGCTTCGTCGCAGCAAGAACCGTTGGCTTCTTCTTGCTGACGTAACGCTCCCTGATTGGTCGGCGTGACCGGCATCCAAGGTGGCTGCCGGTCGCGCTGCTAAGTGCTGCCGCGGTCCGCGTGCAGGCGGTAGAAATTACATTTTCGAACATTCCGCCCGCCATCAGCAGCTCGTAGAAGATGGTGATGAATCCTGATCCGCTACTGGTAGTAGAGCCAACTTTGCAATTGGCCGAGTTAGAGTTGAGGTGGCCGTCTTGATCATGACGACCCTCGTCAATCCATCTGGTCCAGGGTGAACTGCGAGCACTCGAGCAAGAGGCCACTTGCATGGTGGGAAGCGCTCGTCTGTAAGCAGCACCAGAGATCCAACGTGGATGTTGTTGGAAGGGTGCTGCCACTTAGAGATTGATTGCATCCGTTGGAGATGTTGAGTTGACCAGCGCTTCCAGAATTGTTGTAACTTTTGTTGTATGAGATGCCACCTGGCTCTCGGTGAGATGTTGGCCTGTTCAACAGATGGCTCAGGCAGTGTTGAGATTGCTCTTCCGATTAGGAAATGAGCTGGTGTTAGCACTGAGAGATCGTCAGGGTCGTCCGTGAGAGGCTCCAGTGGTCGTGAATTAAGCGTTGCTTCAATCTGATTTAGAAGAGTATAGTATTCTTCAAAAGTGAGCGAAGTGTCACTCACCGTGCGTCTGAGATGGTATTTGACAGACTTGACCACTGCCTCCCACTTTCCTCCCATGTGCGGTGCAGCAGGTGGATTGAAACTCCAAGTTGTGTGGTCGTGGGCGAACAGCTTGGCCAATCGTTGATTGTCTTGAGTGCCCTCGACGAACATTGACTTCAATGCTGAATCTGCTCCGATGAAGTTTGTTCCGCAGTCGGACTAGATTGTATGTGGAATGCCTCTTCTTGCAGCGAACCGTCGGTACGTGGCAACGAATCCATCCGTTGAATAGTCGGTAACCAATTCCAGATGAACAGCAGACGTTGTCATGCAAACGAAAACACAGATCCAGCCCTTTTGTGTTTTCGCACCTCGCCCCTTCCACGTCTTGAGTGCGATGGGACCGGCGTAGTCTACGCCGGTGTCTGAGAATGGGTGTGAGGGTGTAACCCGAGAGAGAGGTAGTTGGCCCATCAGTTGATGGGCACGGATCCCCCTCTGCCGAGCACACACAATACACCGCAGGATGTGAGATTTAACTGGAGCTCGTCCTCCGATGATCCAGTAAGTCTGCCTGATGTGAGCGAGTGTGAGTTGTGTCCCTCCATGAAGCGTTGCTTTGTGGGAGTGATCTACAATCAATTCGGACAGACGTGAGTGACGTGGAAGGATTGCAGGGTGTTTACCTTCGTAGGTTAACTGAGCATTGCTGAGTCTTCCTCCAACTCGAATAACCCCTTGATCGTCGATGAAGGCCGTGAGTCGATTGAAGGCGTGAGACGATGGCAGCGTTTGGTTGTTGACCATCATCTTGAGCTCGTGTGAGAAGTATGCTGATTGTGTGGCCTTAATCCAGAAGATTTTGGCCTTTTCCAAATCAGCTGGCGTGTTTGAGAACCTCGTTGAAGCAGTTGTGTTTCTCAGTTTGGAGATGAACCTGTAACAAACTGAGGTAACATGAAAAAGTTTTTGCAAAGATGAATATTTGTGAATCAAGTCCCAGTAATAATCGATTTTTTGACACGTTAACACGTGCGAGATTCCTGGACGACACTCCTGTAGGCAAGTGTCGTCAGATGCGTTGCGTTGTACAGGCCATGATTCTTGAGATTGTAAAAGCCATGGTGGTCCCCTCCACCATAGCTCGTGTTGTTCACGCTGAGTTGTAGTCAATCCTCTTGAAGCGCAATCAGCAGGATTTGATGTGCCAGGAACGTGCATCCAAGTTGCAGTTTGCGTTAGTTCTTGAATTTGTGTTACACGATTCCTGACGTAATCCTTCCATCGTGATGCGTGACATTTGATCCATGTATGTGTTACTTGAGAATCCGTCCACAGGTGAATTGCAGCAATGTTGAGTTTGAGATTAGCTTGAACGTATTTTAGTAATTTTGCAAGTATCAGCGCATCTGTGAGCTCGAGTCGGGGAATTGTAAGTTTTTTGAGAGGTGCGACCTTTGTCTTGGAGCACACCAGTGACGTTACCTTGAGATCTGTGGACGGCGAGAAAACAGTAATGTAAATTACTGCTGCCATGGCGAGTTGTGAAGCGTCAGAGAAGCCGTGTAATTCCACTGTGGTATTGTTGTAGGTGTTGAACCACCTTGGTATAGAGAGTCTGGCCAGACTTGTAAGATCTTCTCTGATCGCAATCCATCGTGTAGTAACATGGGATGGCAGTGGATCATCCCATTTGAGATTGAGAAGCCATAATTCTTGCAGGAGTACCTTCGCTCGAATAATGACTGGTGACAAAAAGCCAAGCGGATCAAATATCTGTGCTACCTCAGATAGTACAAGGCGTTTTGTAAAATTGAGATTGTGGTGAGATTTAGTAGTGAATGTGAAACTATCGTTGACAGTGTTCCATCGCAATCCGAGAGTTTTGGTATTGCAGTCGTCTAGTGAGATTGATGTACCTTGAGAATTATTACAAGGCACGATGGTTTCAAGCAGAGAGGCTTCGTTTGAGTGCCACTTTGCAAGAGGGAAACCGCCCGCGTTGCACAAGTCAGTTAATTGTGAAGCAATTTCAATTAACGAATCAAGAGAATCTGCACCACCAAATATGTCGTCAACATACCTTGCATGTTTGATTGATGGTACTGCCAGTGGGTAGCGTTGACCCTCGTCCTCTGCAAGTTGTAACAGGGCTCTGACAGCTAGAAATGGTGCAGCTTTGGTACCGTAGGTGACCGTTGTCAGTGTGTATGGGACTTCATTTGATTCCTCATCAATCCACAGTATCCGTTGGAGGTTCCAATCGTCTTCATGTACTCGCACTTGACGGTACATCTTGGTGATGTTCGTCGCGAAGATGCATTTGTGATGTCGAATCCACAGCAAAACGTCAGTGATGTTGAGCAGAAGATTTGCACCAGTGTGCATGATGTCGTCGACAGAAAGTCCAGTTGTTGTTGGACTTGAGCCATTGAAGACGACCCGCAGCTTTGTTGTTTCGCTGTCAGGTTTGAAAACTCCGTGATGTGGAAGATAGTAAATTGAAGAGTCGTTGAGCGAGATTGAAGAAGCCTTCTTCATGTGACTGAGGTCCTCGTATTCACTCATGAACCGTTGGTATTGTTCACGATACTCCGGATTCCTGCTGAGCTTGTTGAGCGTGCGTCGCAAACAGGAACGAGCAGTACTGTAAGAAGTGCCCAAGACTTTAGTATTTGATTTAAGAGGAATACGCGCCACGTATCGCCCAGTAGTATCACGTCCATGCGTTGCAAGAAAGTGATTTTCACACTCTTGTTCTTCAGGTGTGAGTTGAGATGTTGTTTCCGTTGGAGGCTCCTCTTAGATCCAGAATTTCGTCAGCAATTCTTTCAGAGCAGCGTCGCTGTCTTGAGAGATCGTTGCATTGAATGATGAATAAACACGAGCTCTTGGTTTGTAGAAATCAGGATCTGCCAACTTGAGACGGTTGAGATGTGGCCAGTCTTCCTTGGGTGCCTCAGAAGATGGCAATGTTGCAGTTAAAGTTCGTAATACGTGAGTTTGTATCAAAACTGATGAGGTATTGTAAAGAGATTGTAAATGTAATAATACAATACCTCGAGTTTGTGTTGATTTTTTGCCACCAATGCCAGTGATGGAGATCGTTGATTGAGTGCGTTGTAGTCCCAGCTGTTCGACGAGATCTTCAGAGACGAAGCTGAGCTCCGATCCGGAGTCGACGAGCAGCCTTGCATTGTGGGTTGCGGATGATGTGATGACTTGTGCATTTGCTGTTGCTAACAGCGTTAGCTCATCGTCTTGCGTTGAGCTGATCGTCTTGTCAAGACTACGCGACATGACATGCACCAACGTGCAATTCCAAAGCTCCTCCGGTGAAGCTAGTGCGCGTAGCGACGTATTGTAGTCGCGCAGATTGGCCGCCACGTTGTGGTAGGCCGCAGCGGTTCGCTGTTGCACGGGCGACGTAGAGAATAGCTTGTCAAGCAACGATGAGATAATTATTCGTTTATTCTCGTAACGCTGTTTCAAATTCGCCCATGCGATGGGGAATGATTCGCCTGTGCTTGGCAAGTTCGCAATGACGCGTAGCGATTCACTGCGAAGACACAACCGTAGGTAGTGCAGTCGCTCCACATTTGAGAGGCGCTCATTGTCGATTATAATGGACGCGAACAATTCACAAAACGCGGGCCATGCTTCGTATCTGCCCGTGAACGTTGGAAGCGTCAACTCGGGCAGCTTGGATGGGGTTCGTCGAGCCGTTGATTCCCCGCGCCTTTCGCGAAGCTTCTCGAAGGCGACACGAAACTTGCCGAGGCGACGTCGCACTTCGAGCACCACGCCCATTTCGAGCTCGTAATAGTCCTCCTTCAGGTAAGGATGGGAAGCTTGGCTTGCTGGCCACGTCACTTCCAAGTATGCGTGCTCTTTCTGGAAGAGCTTGTGAATCTCGTCCACCTGAGCAGAGATGGATTCGATGTCCTTTGGGGTTGTCTCGTCTAGCATTTCCGGCATCTTATCCATGATCCTCCGCAGCATCTCGACCCTACTCATCTGGCTCTTGGCCTTGAAGGTCAGCTCCATAGAGAGGCCTGCTGGGGAGGATGAGCGCGTTGCGCGTTTTTCCACCGTCGGTGGAGGTGCTTCTGTTGGAAGTGCCGTCGGTACTGCCAGCGTTGCTGCAACCGGCGTCGGTGAAGCCGTTCTCGATCCCGGCTTGGACGTTTGAGGCGTTGCCTTGGCGGATTTTTCTTCCTTGTGGCTGCCGGTCGCGCTGCTAAGTGCTGCCGCGGTCCGCGTGCTGGCGGTAGAAATTACATTTTCGAACAATTTGCTTCCATTGTGCAAGAAGAATTAGACCTGAAGTTCGGGAACAATGGGTGCACATCGAGGAGCGCCACTTTATTGTAAAGGAGTACGGGTTAAAGCAGACGCGCTGCATGTCATGCCAGTGGGAATTTGCTGACTTCCGACCCACAATTGCCTGTACCACCTGCTAAGACTCAATCAGGAATATGGATAATGATGCTCAAGAAGCTTTTTGGGAAGGGGCACTCCTCCCATCTGGAGAACCCAACGTATTCTATTTAAAAGAACTTTTTCGGCAATGAATATTAATGTAAAAACAATGCACACAAAATAAATTGTAATTTTTATTTCTATAGAAATATTTTATTCAATGAGAGCCCTTAACCGCTATTTTGGTCTTTCCTAGAAGAGGAAAAACAGAGAAGGAATGATGAAGAAAAAAAGAAGGCGTAAAGCGCCACCTACACAAACGCCATATCGCAAGCATGGTTCGACGCGCCGGCAAAAGCCAACAAATGAAACGCTTAAGAAAAGCCTTAAAACAACTCAATGAGGTACAGGTATATTTCTTTTCCTTAATTCAATAACTTACTAATTATTCCAAACATCTCCAAAGGCTCCAACACAGCATCAAATACAAAAAGAAGATACACCATGGAGGTTAACCCTCATCAACATCCCGGAGTTAAATTGGAAAATCTTCAAAAAACTAAACAAAACGGATCCAAGAAGAAGGCATGCAAGAATTATCAAATATTTTGGAAAATTGGCCGCATCCCCTCGAAATGATGAAGAAAAATGCCAATGTCATACTTGCCAGCAACAACGATTAACAAAAAAGTCTCTTGAGGACAAGAGACCAACACAGGGGGAAGGCTGTAACATCCCGCAAGAAGAAGAGTAAATAAAAAAAGAACTTCATCATTAATATTTGTCAAAACTTTTATTTATTTTTTCATTTTTTTTATATATAATCCAATATTGTAACATTTAGTTTATTTATTTTTTGTATCTTTTTCTTATAATTATATTCATATCTAATAACTAAAAAAAGAATCTGGTATTTATTAATATTTATATTTTAACAAAATTTATACTCCAAAAATGTATATCGATAAATTGTCGCGTCGATAATACTACCACGTCGATAAAAGATCGACACAGAACACATAGATAGAGATAGGAATAACGCATAGAAAGAGATAGTAATAGAGCGCAGAATAAAGAGAGATAGCACTATGCATAGACAGAGATAGCGATACGCGCGGAGTCACGTACACTCCGGTCAAAGTCCAAACACTTCCGGTATCGAAAATACGTGTAGAAAAAACTGCTACGTAAGCAGATCTCCGGTATAAATACGAGCGTGCCGCGCGGAGCTGTTTCACTTCGATTCTGATCGTAGTCTGACACGGGTCTATGATACGATTACTACATAGATTTTCAGTAGCATAGATTCTTTTGTAGGCAAGGCGGTAACGGTTCCGCGTCAGACCCGGAGCGCTCAACTACCGGTTCGCAGCGGTTCTCATACGTGTCAGGTTCGCAACCAAGCTTAACGAGCGAGCGAAAGCCGAAGCTCCTTGGATGCGGCCTATTAGTACACTGGCTCTAGAGCGACGATACCGTCCTGCAGTGTTCGCTACCAAGCTTAACGAGCGAGCGAAAGCAGAAGCTCCTTGGATGCGGCCTATCAGTGACGGCTAAGTTGCCCAGAAATCGAACTGCGGCCGAACGAGTTAGCTCCTACAGTGTCGGAACGGATCCTCGCCAAATTTCCGTCAATCAATCCATTTATTTAAATAATATTATTTTATAAATTCAAGTGATAAATTTAGAGTTTTGATAATCGTATCTAGAGTCGCGTTCACTAATCAATTTATTTTTCTTTGTATTTTATTTTAGGTCAAACTATTTTGTAATTAATAATCTGAATTTTCTTTTTGTATTTCAAGAACTGGGCGCAACATTTGTACATACATCGATTACGATAATTCTTTATATTATTTTCATTACATTTTATATAATTCAAATGGTTACTTACCTTTTTTTATATATATTATAAACAACCACATCATATTTTCTTGAATAAACATACTCACTACATATTTTTGAGAAAGGAATTAACGTTGGATTTTACTCCTTTACCGCGTGCCACCCGAACCTATAATCCCTTCATTATACGAGTCGCCTTCTTGCAAGGGAATCGCTCTCCCTACGCGTCGGTGCAGTAGCGTACTCGCGATAATAATTCCGGGACAGTAGGTTCAAATTTGTATACACCGCGTAGTGATAGTATTAATTTCCAACAGTTAACTTTACATAGTGACGATTGAGAGTAGGATGTCATAGGTTTTTTTGTAGTATTGGCGGGTCAGTTTTGAAATTGTATACTGTTAAAGATATTACTGGCTTACAATGCACGATTTCAAATACAGCGCGCAAATTTAACTGTGTGCTTTCCTTTCTTTTGTTTTATATATACCGAACGTGTATGACGCATAATGCGAACGCTTTGTGACTAAAGTGAGATTGAACTATTAAAAATACGTTTATCGGTTAAATGTGTAAGCATTACTTATTTTCACGTACAATTGTCCATTTTCGTGCTCTGCATATATTTAATATATACAATTACAAATGTATTATTTTCGTCGCGTATAGTTTTTCCACGTGTATTTCCGCCAGGTGTATTTCCGCCGCGTGTACTTCTGCCGCATATATCGAACATTTTCCATTTCAGGCTTCATCTCGCATTTACATCGACGGACTATTTTTGTGAAAAAAAAAAGCGGGTAAGTATATAACAATATCTTTTCATCTTAAACTATTCCCATTCGGATTGTAATCTTATTTGTGTGATTATTTCTTTTTACAGGTGGATCACCTGCAACTCCTGGTGTTACGTTCATTAGTTAATAAAACTGCCATCTTATGACAGTCACCCAGTTGAACAGGCCTGTACCTTGTTTTGGTTGCAAACGGGTAATTGTTTAGGTGGTATTGGCAATTAAGGTTTGTCATTTTTTACATTCTAAAACATAATGCAGTAATACATACAAACGGTTTCGCTCCATGGTTAGGCATGTGATTACAAATCCGAAGATCCTCTGTTTCATATGTCGGCTCCCCTCCAATTTTGTGTTGGTAGGTGCTTTAACACGTCGAGCGCGGCGTCGGTCCCTGAGGACCGACAGTGAACTTTCCGTTTAGCCGGCGTTGGTGTAAGGGGGTCGTCTGGTGTGCCCGGTTCTTGGATAAAGTTCCGAAAGACGCAACCCTCCGATTGCGGTGAA